ATTGATCATCTCGACATCGAGATGTATGAATTTGAAAAAAAAAAAAATGTATTTTGAGTCTTTAAAATAATGCAACTTGCTATACATTATTTAGAGCGTCAATTTTCAAGATTTTTATATGTTTATAGATCTACTTGATTTTAACTATTTTTAGAATTTCAAATTTTATAATTAAAAATGAAAATAGATTTTCAGATAATCTTAATAATATTTACGCCAAAATTACATGTTATTATAAAATTTGGAGGTGTGCATTAATTGAATTGTTTAAGATTGCAACCTTATAAAAACCACACCCATATATGTTATATGAATAATGATCCTATGAGACCCTCCTACACCCATGTGTGTAGGACACCAAATGATCACTATTAAATTTGCCACAGATCTCTAGAAAATTTAGCACATGGTGTGGGACTTGACTTTTCTTGAGATCAGTGCCAAATTTAATGGTGATTGTTTGGGGTTCTACACACATGGGTGTGGAAGGTTCTCACAAAGTCATTTTCCCATAGTTTATATATATATATATATATATATATATATGGAAAAGTTTATATAAATTTGCAACCTTCAAATGTAGAATTACAGATGCACCTCAAAAATCTATCGGACAGGTTGTTATAATGTTGAAAAACCCTCTATTTGATCATTTCGACATCGAGATATATGAATATATAAAAAAAAAGTTGAGTCCCATAAATAGTACATCTTGTAACACATTATCTAGGCCGTCCATTTTCAAGATTTTCACATGTTTATAGATCTCTTTGATTTTAACTATTTTTTTAGTTTAAAATTTTATGATTAGATATGAAAATAAATTTTAAGATAATCCTAATAATTTTTTACCACAAAATTACATGTTATGATAAATTTTGGAGGTGCGCATTAATTGGATTGTTTAAGGTTGCAACTTTATAGAAACCGCACAATATATATATTATATACATTCTGAACCACTCGAAGAATATTTGATGACTGATATTCTACCTATATTACTATTCATTATTCAGCTATTGTTAGCTTTTTCCATATATATATATAGGAAAAGTTTATATAGAGCCGAGGCTCTAAACAATCAAATTTGAGCTTACCCCAAAAATTTCACTAGAAGAGGTTGTTTTGATGCCCAGATATCTTCAAATCGATCATCTTGACATCAAGATTCATGGACATTTGAAAAAAATGGATTTCAAGTTTTGGAAACAATGTATTTTGAAACACATTTTTGGACCGTCAATTTTTAAGATTTTCAAGTTTTTATAGATCGGTCGATCTACTATATTTTTGAAGCTTTAAACTTTATATATAAATATAAAAATATATTTTAAGGCTATCACAAAGATTTTTAATATTAAAACTATATTTTTCTATTTGAAAGTAGGCTCTAATTTGATTGTTTAGAGCGCGGGTACTATACAAACCGCACCATGTATATATATATATATAAACGAAGTTAATATAAATTTATGCCCGACCCTTAATTGTCGCGCTGGTGATTAGGTCCCAACCGGATTACCAATCGTAATTGCTAGAAGCCGACAACGGTATAAACTTTTCCTTATTTTTTCTTTATTGGTGTGGGTTTGGGCGGGAAACATATGTTGTGACCTTCTAACATTTACTCTCACCGGTCTGGAAATTTGTATTTTCATAATTCAAGTATGATTTTTTTGTAATCTGGCTTTTTGAGTATTTTGAATTTTCATATCGGTAGATGATGATAATACGAGCCGTAATATACTCTTTGTGCATTTCATTTCCTACTAATAGCTTCTAGGAAATTTCTCTACCCTGAACGAATTTGATAACCCTCAATTTTTCTATGGTGGGCCAGGGGGGGGCCTTGAAATTGATGGAACTTGCGTGGCTCCCGTCAAACAGTGTTAGTGTGCAGCAGCGGGTGGTAGGAAGTTACGTGGTCGCCTGCCTTGTCGACATAGGGTTTTAGACTGCTCACTGTGCTACCTCTCTCTCACAAACCCTCCTCTCCCACACGCAAGGATCCATTTGCAAGCCTCAAACGAAATACCTCATCTCCTTTCAGCAAAGATCATATTCTTCAACAAGATTAGGTTTTTTTTTTTGGCTGGTGTTCTTTTATTTAGTTGTTTATCTATCTTCTTCACTAAAGATTCTTCACCAAACAAGGTAGGGTTTCCCTGATACGAACCCCCATGCAAAATGCATTATCTTCTTCGACGAGGCTATGGGTTTTATTCTTGTGATTTTCCTGGGCTGATTCTTTTAATTACCAATGCAAACATTTTTTTTTTCTATGTTTTCCCCATGCCCCATGGAAATTTGTTGCTTGTTGTTTTTTTTTGGCTTACTTTATTTAGTATAGAAGCACAATTTGCTCTGGAGAAAAATGTAGGTATGTTTTATCCTTTTTGTTTATTGCTTTTTGGTTTTTTTGATGTATAGAAGCCATTTTGTGATTTTTACAGTGGGGCTTGTTCATCGTCATGAAATTGCACAATTAGTTTGTTGAATTTTTGTTTTTCTATTTTATCCTTAAAGTAGAAAGATTATACTAAAATGCTTCCTGAGTAAATTTCCCATGATTTTTGAAGCTACGTTTTGAATGCTTGGACATTGGAATATGGATTTTTTTTTTTTTGAAGAAATATGTATTATTTTCCATTTCTTTTTTGCTGATATGATTTCTGATTATGATCCCATTATAAGCACTTTGACAGTGACGTAGTTATTTTGCTTTGTTGGATATTGATGCCCTGTTTTCAGTTATTTATTTGCTAATGCTTATTTGAAGGGCATAAACTTAGTTATGCAATGCTTTTTTTGTTTTTTTTTTGAGAAGCGGTTTTTAGGTTTTTGGAATCTATCTAAATTCTTGAAATAAATTCATAGGAATGTGAGACATGTGAACCAAACATGGGAAAAAACAATATTGGAAAACTCTTGGACAGGATATAAAAATTATTTTACATATGCAAACTGTTACACATGAACTAAACGAGTCCTTAGTTTCTGATTCTATAGTTATGAGCATACGTTTTAGTTGTGGTTTCTGATTTTTGTGTGTGTTTGGGCTTTTATTATCACACTCCTTTTGCAAGCAATAATTAGCTTTTAATTTGCCGGAAATTTGATTGTATAGAGTAAATATGGTGATTGTTTTCTTAATTTGTGGCTTTTTGTGTTGTTTGTAGATATTGTATGTTTCTCTTTTCTCTGAGTAAATATGGTGATTGCCTTCTTAACTGTGGCTGTTGCATGTTTTCAGTTTGATGTTTCCTCATTAGATGCTTGGCATCACTGTGTGGGTTTCGTTAGGACACTTTGTAGGCGCATGTATGGGTCCTTGTTATATCGCTTTTTGATTTTAGAAGAAATGCATCTCACATTTGTTAAATTTTTGCCTTTGATATTAAAGTCTTGCAGATTTCAAAATTAACAGTTTTTTGAACAGTGATATTTACCAATAAATGAAAAGTAGGCCACCTTGCTGCATGGGTGGCTGCCTAGGCAGCTTGGTCGAGGTGGTGGGGTCGGGGCAGGCATGCCTAAGGCAGGCGCCCGCCTAGTGCCATCCCTATTAAAAAGAAAAAGAAAAGAAATTCAAATCCACCTAGACAAAAATAAGACATGGGATTGCCCTTCTCTCTCTCTCTCTCAGGTCCATGTGCTCTCTCTACATATGAAGAAGAAGAAGAAGAAGATGGACTCCCAAGTGTACGATGTGGGGCCTCTCTTTTTCTCTCACACACACACACGCTCATACACACACAAAGATACACATGGACCCATATGCTCCCTCGTTACATAGAAGAAGAAGAAAAAGAAGAATGTGACCTCCAAGTGTTCGATGCGAGGTCCCTCTCTCTCATAGACTATCTCTCTCTTTCTCTCTCCATATCCTCCAGGTGTTTGAGACCTCTCTCTCACAAATACAGGTCCAAAAGAAAAAAGAAAAAGAAAAAAAGAGGATGATCTTTAGAATTTCATGTGAGACCTCACACACACATGCTTGCGCATGCACATACACACACTAAACAGAACACACACGCATACAAAAAACAACACATGGCCCCCACCCCCTTCGCTTAGGGTCGCCCAGGTATCTGGGCACCAGCCTAGGCGGCCCAGACCCCTGACCGACTAGGCGGCTACATCTGTCTTCTTGAACATTGATATTTACAAATCCTTCTTTCTTTTGTTCTTTGGAGTCTCTGCTATTATTGTCTCCAATTTTCCCATTTGTTTACTAGGATATTTTTGGTGGTCTAGGTGATTAAAGGAAAGGCTGGATGGGACCAGCAGCTTGGATCTAGAAACCGGTGAGCCAGTCACCTGTATGGTTAGGTTGGCCATGGTGGACCAGATGGTCCATTCAACTAGAAACGACTAGTGGACTGGTCGGTCTACCAATCCAGTGCCGAGCCGCCAGGCCCAATGTTTCTATTTGTTTTACTTGTTATATTCTTTATTTTTTTTATCATGTTCAATTCCTTGCTGTTTATTTAGGGACGTTTTTGTCAAATTCAATGAAAGAGAAGAATAGGCTTTTAGAAAATGAAATTTTAAGTATATTCGACCACTTTTTTGATTGTTGATTCATTTGTTAGGAAACAATGTTGCAAGAAATCTTGTAATGATCCTTGAATCTCTTGATTAGTGATTGTTCAATCTCACTTCGGTACCTCTTATGAAGTGGTCCTTTCTAATAGTTTTCTTCCTTTGAAAAATGCCTTTTTTGTGGGTTTTTACTTAATCTTGTGTGAGTCTCTTTACTATGCTTTTTATGTGGTACGTCTCCCTCTAAAATCATTGCCATCTCCTTCAAGCACGACTTTTTTGTTTTTTTCATTTTTCTGTTTTTGCACTTTGAATGATTGAATGAACTATCAAGTTGATATTGTTAGAGATATTTTGATTTAGGGATAAGTGGATGGGCCCTTTACTATTAGGATATTTTTTTTTTAAGCTTACTATTTAAATGTTTATGAGTTTATGGAATTTTTTATGCTAACTTTTCAAAATGGTAAAAGACTCACCATGAAAGAGATTTAAAAATTTAAATATAGTGAAAGATATCATGAATAATAGACTCATGGTTTACTCTTTTACTCGATATTATCTTTTTTTTTGAATTTTTTTTTCTTATTTTCCATGATTTTCTCTATTTTCCCACTTTTTCTTTATTTTCCATATTCTTATTAATTTTCTAATTTATTAAATTGGTGTCACCGCCGAACCAGTCTGATTCAACCCGTCTAACTGGAATGGTGGCTTCACCGGTTTGGTCACTGGTCTAGTCCTGACATTATTCTCTTAAGTATGATGGTACATTTATTAAATAAACATGTTGTTGCATGCTGTGCTTGTACCATGCCAAAAGGATCACAATTCCCTTGTTCTTGTATAATCCAATACTAACTTTTGCAAAGGTTTCTTGTTATTATGTTGATTTAGCTTTATAAGTAGAAACAACTCGTTACATCTTTCCCTTGTGCTACTTTTGTATTTTTTTTTTGTTAATGTATTGGTATACGATCAAGTCTCCAGATCAGTTCAAGTGATGGTGATTGATACGTTAGGTTTATGTGATTTTTCTTTTTAATTTCCTTGCTGTAATAAGAATCAGGGTGAAATGGATTTTAACTATGTGATTCTATTTATTATGGATAATGAGATGTGTTCCACACAATGAAGTTCAGCTACCTTAATTTGCTCTTATTGTTGTAATAACGTTAATATATTACATATACATTGTATTTGTCCTGTTGGTGACTATCCTAGAACTTTGTGTGATTAGAAGGCTTCTTTTTGATGTGGTTGCTTACAACCATTCTAGAACATTTTATCATCCCCCCCCCTTTTTCACCCTATGTGCTTAGAATATTTTTGGGCAGTTTCAGGCTCTTTTTGATACGCACTTCTGCCTCTTCATTCGTCTCTCTCTCTCTCTC